TTGAAAAAAAAAAAAAAAGAAAGAAAAGCAAATGTTTATGTTAAGTTGCCTAATCATTAGGTGGTTATAATTTTTTGTTTTTAATGAAAAATGCATACTTATATTATGAAAAAATAATTTAAGATAGTGTCACGGAGGATTATGCCATTGGTTTTCATTTATGGATACTTGGTTTCAAGGCTGGTGTTAGGCTAGTTATTTAGTTCTGAAAGTATAAGGCCAAAGATATGTGTGTCTGGTTGCATATGACTATTAAAATTGTCCGTATGAGGTCAGAGTTCCAAGCTTAGTAAATTCACATTAAATAAAGAGCATTAAAAGCCCATCTGCGACGGTGATTTTGTGCAACACTTACACGGTAGAATCAAATTTGCGGTTTAAACAGCATAATAATTGGTCTCAATTTTATCTGCAAATTGGATCAATTATATAAATTGATATAGGAACAATGTAAAATGAACAATTTTAGAACAAGCCTCAGCCATAATTTTTGCTGCCATAATTTTTGCTGCCATAATTATTGCTATGCATTAATTTTGGACTAGCACATTTGTTATTGAACTTTTCCTTTTTTGTTAAATATTGGGCCGCCGAATCCGTGAAGCCACAAATCAATATAAAACTCCAATGCAAAGAAGGATGGATTGCCAGCCAACGCAACGCTTATGCCGATCCGCCAACCGACCTAGCTGCTGATTTTCGACCCAATGTGAACAAGAACGAGACATGCGGCCGCCATCAAAAGTAGCAATGACACGTGTGTTCATGCACACTGTTTCCCCCGACATGCATCTGGCTTGTCACTAGGGCTATAAATGAATCGAGTTGAGCTCGAACTCGAGCCATTAATAAGTCGCTCGATCAACTCGACTCGTTAAGTAAACGAGCCAAAAATACAGTTCGAGCGCACTCGTTAATCAGTATTCACGAGTCGAGTTCAAGCTTTAACGAGTCGAACTATAGAAATCATATAAATATTCTTGTTTTGAGCTTCAACGAGCCTTATCGGGTTGACCTTAGTGTCCCCTTCTTTCTCATCGTTCGAGACGTCATCTGCTCAACTCGCTTCTGTTTATTGTGTTTTTGTGCTTATTTTCGTGTGTTTTATGTGTTTTAGTTTGGTCTTTTTAGGTTCGTTTTAGTGTCACCCGGTCCATTTTATCTTTCTTAGTCTTTCTCTTTATTTTATTCTTGGCGTACTTTCCCGTGCTTTTGGGTGTAATTTCAGGATTTTTCGAGGATAATGAGAAGAGTTGAATCGAATTCCGAGAGACGAGCATTTCCGAAAGAATCCCGAGAAGTTTCGAGCCAATTCGCACGAGCCATTTTCCATTCCGAGAATCTCGAGCCATGTCGGTCCTAAGTCTCCCAGCACCCGCGCCCTCGAACAAGCCGCGACCTCGAGAATGAGCCTTGTCTCGCGCCAACTCCGTGCCACAGCCGCACTCGCGAGCACGCGGAACTTCCCGCGAGGTCGAGCTCGTGCCCGCGCCGCGCGAATTCGTCCACGAGGTCGAGAGCGTCACTGCCGCCCGCGCCGCGCGAAATCGTCCGCAACATCGAGAGCATGCTGCCTCGGCCGTCCGCGAATGCGAAAGACCCCGCCAGCTCGAGAGTCCGCCTGCTCCAGCATGTCCGCGCGCGCGAACTCCTTCGCCAGGTCGAGAATATGGATTTTTACCGCGCCACCCCGAGCCTTCCTCGCGCCTGCACCGTGCCATGCGGGTCCGCGACCCGCGAATTATCCCGCGACCTCGAGAGTACTGTCATTTAATGTGCGTGTTTCTAGTGCGTGTTTTGAGCTGGACTATATATATATTTTGGCCATCTAGATTTCATTTGTCACTTTTCCACTTTAGGAATTAAGCTTTTTTTTTTAGTTTTCTCTCTTCTCTCTCTTGCGAGCTCTATGACATCATTTTCCGGCCAGTTTTCCGGCGAGTTTTATTTTGTTAAAGTTCCGAGTTTTTGACTCCGATTTTCGTCTAGCACGCAATAGAAGATTGGGTATTTACTTTTAAAGCTCATTACTTCGATTTTTGCCTCGTTTTTACTTATGAAATTTTTCAAGGTGAATTTGGGTGTTTGCTTGATGATAGAGGAAATGTTTGGACTTGATCATTGTTCTTGCTTGTTTTAGTAAGGACTAATTGTTTGCCTATCTAGATTAAGGGTTAGGACTCTATTTAGAGCTTAATCACTTAGGTTAGAAGGTTGAGATTAGTGACCGAGTGTTAGAACTTGCATACTTCTCCTTGTTGATTTCGTTTGATGTTGATGGCTTAGAGACTTCGGTAGTGTTAATTGTGTTATTCTCTCATTGATTTCGTTTTTACTTCCTCGTGCAATTAGTGTTAATCCATCCTCAATCCAAATTGATTAGCATGTTTAGCTTTTATTTTCTCATTTTGTGTGATTTGGACAATTGAGTGGTAAACGAAGCTCCGAACCGTCTTCCTTTGAGAACGACACGAGGTTGGGTAGCTCAGTTACCAACTACCCTCAAAATACTACAAAACAGCTTCCTAACTTGAGGGTCGTCGATGAGTTTCAGAAAAGCGGAAGACTGTAACATTGGTGGGTGTTGGGCCCGAACGATTTATGATATGTGCAGTATCGTGGCTTATCGAGTTGATCCACATTGGCTTGGATCCGCCTTAGTTTGGGAATGATCCATTTGTTTTTCAACTCCTCATATACAGTTGCCACGCCAACCGAGTGCACACTTCGATAATTGGTACTCAACTCCTCTTGGTGTTGTTTTCTTAATGCGCGAACTTGGGCAGTTCGGGTATCTTTTGTCTAGTCCCGCCCAAAATTCGTTTATTTTTCTTTTGTGTTGGAGCTGTTTGGTAGTTTGAAGGATGAGACCGACATGGATATAGTATCCCGGTATAGTATCCCATATCACAGAACAATATATTGTAATTAGGTATGAATAAAGAAAGAGAGAGATAGAGAGAGGTGTATTTTTGTTAGTATTATATATTGATAATGTTTAAATATGTTAAATTTTAATGTCCCTTAATTCTATATATCTACGAACTTTGAAATAATAACTATTTTATGACGGGTGAAATAAACATATAAATGATATATTAAACTATTATACATCATAAAAAATAATATTAGTATTCAAAATTGTTTCGTACTAATCAATATTTTCTTATTGCACGAGTGATGTAATAGTTAGGTTTGTAAGATGTGTCTTTGGTAATAGTGATTTGCATATATAATTATTGGAAAATGTTACATGTACACAATAAATATACATAGAGGTGTACATAATACTCACATGTAGTAGGGTCAACTTCATTTTTTATTTTTGGTATATCCTACTCAATGTGATGTTATGTACAGCTCTATGTACAATATTATCTACATATAGCATTTCCCATAATTATTTTAGAAATGTTATGTTGTCGACTTATTTTATGAATCTTCTCTACATAAAACACTCATTTATATTATTCTCTTTCATAATTAGCGTTTTGGTTCAGAAAGCTAATAAAAAACCTACTACCAAATAAATTATTTAGTAGATTTAACTTGATATATGCGGTTCAATTTGGTAAGTGGTAACATACAAACGAGTCTAGTTCAAAATCAAACTGGTCAACCGTTTCTTACTTTGACTGTTCATGTGGGGCCAGGCTGCACGATCGTGATGGTAATATGATTTACTTCTAATTCTTCACCAAAGGAAAACTCATCGGAATTCCAAAGAAACTTGAGAAAGATTGCAAGGACAAGTAACCTGGAATTTTCTGAGATGGGACACTAAATATAATAATGCACAATTTGTGAGGAAAATTGGTACTTTGTGACTTTGTCCAATCTTGAAGACTTGAAGTTTTCTATTATGCTTATAATAATAATTCAGCGTCCAATTTCTTGCTGGTTTCCCTGTGAGAAAAGACTTGGAAATTTTGAAGTCTTCTCACTTTAGGACTCCAATGTTGGAGTTTTTCTACTAGGTGATGATTATTGGATATGATTTTTTTTTTTCTTAAAAAAAAATTGTTCATCACTTTAGAAGTGGAATTGTGAGAAAAAAAAAATATACAAAAAATATTCATTCAATAAATCTCAATTTCCTTTTCTACAATTACACTAACATAGTTCAAGAGTAATTATCCATCATGAAAAATATTATTTTCTCATAGGTTTCTAAAGATAAATCATTATGGATATTTGTATAACATTATTTTAATCATTATATTTTTAGCTTCTATCCATTCAAAATATTAAAATTATTCTCTTTCTTTTCCTTTTTTTTTTTAATCTCTATTATGGAACCAGACAATTTGATGCAGCAGAACCNAATAATAATAATAATAATAATAATAATAATAATAATAATAATAATAATAATAATAATAATAATAATAACATTCAAACTAATGAGACGAGTCGATCATATTTGTCGATATATGCTAGTGCAATCTCGTCGGCATCACAATTTTTTGAAAAACTACGGCCATGCGTTTGGTTAAATGCAAGGACTGGTTTCCTGTGTTATAAATTATAAGCCTGACTAAACCTGCAATCATGTTATCCCGTGGACCCAAACTTGTCATGCGTTTGGTTAAATGCATGGACTGTATTACTATGTTATATTGTCCACTTCCATCTTATCGTCCTTTATATAGGTGGCATCTGTACATAAAGTCTAATAGTAATTTCTTAAACCCAAACTTATATACGGATACCATAAACTAAGTTCAAATAAGTTTAATATAAAATGATTGAGTTACTGAAAAAACATTAAGTGTTCATCTACGTGAAGTTTCAAATAAGTATATTGATGTTTTTGTTGCAGATAGCTAAGATAATTTGATCACATGCTATTTATTTTATCAACTAATTTTTTGTCGATAGTAGGATATCAATCATTATCTGGAAATTAACTTATTAGATATCAAGCATGTATCATGTACTAGCCGGTTTTTCAGTTACAAAATAAAATCTTTAATATGATGTATTGATGAATGTTGTATTTTTTTAAAAACATATAAAAATCAAACATAACTAGGTAGTCATTCAAAAAAATTAAAAATAATTCAAAATCTCTACTGATCGGAACTGAATTGTTTCGATAGTCCCGAATATCGAACCGAACCGAACCGAACCGAAAAATAAAAATTTCTGAACCAAACTGTCTCCATTTTTTGATACAGTTTTGGAGAACGAATTTTAGTGATCTACGAATTTCAATACGATTCTTGAGATTTGTCAATCTTTGAACCGTATCGACCCATGTCCACCCGTACTACTCAAATATCAAGACTTCGCATGCATTTAATTGCATTTAATGGAATGAAGACTAGCTCCAACTGTTCTTAATTAACCATTCTTCAAAGAAATATTTATGGTAAGCTTTTCAAAACAAACCATGTCTTAAAGAGTTTCTTCTATATTTGTAAGTCCTTGCAATCAAACAAAATTGGAAACTATTTTCTGTAAGCCTTATGAAATAAAATGCTTCCCCTAATGTTTTTTCAACTTTCAACATTATTTCAGATATTTACTTACTACCAAACATATAAGCAATTGTTGGGAATAACGTCCTAGGAAAAAATTGTGGTTCACGTTGGCCGATTTCAAATAATGATTCACATTAAAGGTTAAGTGGGTCCTATCTCAGTTATATATGTTTTTCACGAACAATTAGGACCATATCGTGAAACATAAAACAAAGGCTGATATCGACCACCCAAACTCATGTATTTCTGTAGGGTGTCGATAAATATGAATTTGATTTGATTTTCATTGTTTTTTTTCTTTAATTATAATTAATTATAATAAAAGTAATATGATTAGTTGTAGTAGAATTTTGAATTTATATTGAAATAATATTTAAAATAAAATAATTAAATTTGATTTGATGTAATGTGAAATGATGATTAATTAAAACTATGTGAATACATGAATAGTGAAATAAAGTGGATGTGATGTGTAAGAATGATTAATTAGTATTATTTAATTATATTGATAATATTGAAAATAGTGAAGTTAAGTTAAAGTTGAATTAAATTTGAGTTTTGATTTTTTTTTATTTTTTTTTTGATGAGCTGATATACAAACACACCCAATGTTAAACAGTAGTAGCGAAAAAATCTTATTGTAATGAATTTGGACGAGAGTGGATAGTATACTTATGTTTAGATTTAGTTTTTGAATTTTGAGTGCATATAAGAGAAACTTTAATGTCACTGTAAATTCCATGTGAACTTCCAACTCATGTCCACATCTATGTCTCCGTGTTGTGTGTGTGTGTGTGTGTGTTATCCCTCTATATATATGCCTCAATGTACATTTGCAAATAAGTAACTAGACTTGAGCCAATCTAGTCCAAATTAATAACCTCCTTCTCCTAAAAACTATAATTAAAATCCAAAATATTTGAATTTCAATGGATAAACTACCGAAATGTGGAGCAAACTACGTGCCCTTAACTCCCCTCATCTTCTTGAAGAGGGCTGCCAAGGTGTACTCCGATCGAAAGTCCATAATCTACGGCCCCGTCTCTTTCACTTGGCGGCAGACCTACGAGAGATGCTGCCGCCTTGCCTCCACCCTCGAGTCTCTCAACATCGCCAAGAATGACGTCGTACGTAACATGTTTAATTATCATTGTAACATTAATATGCATTTTTGTTTCAAAAGTAATAACATATTTCCAAACTTAGATCCGTTGTAATAATTGATTTGTGTGGTCCTCCTCTCCCCTAGGTTTCCGTGTTGGCTCCGAACATCCCGGCCTTATACGAGATGCACTTTGCGGTGCCCATGGCCGGGGCCGTCCTCAACGCCATCAACACGAGGCTCGATGCCCGCAGTGTAGCCACCATCCTCCACCACTCGGAGGCCAAGCTATTCTTCATCGACCACCAATACATCCCTGTGGCTAGAGACGCTCTCCGCCTCCTCCCGGCCAGCTCTGTCCCGCCACTCGTGGCAGTCGTCGACGATGTTGCCGCCCCGACAGGCGCCCGCCTCGGCGCCCTCGAGTACGAGGACCTCATCCTCCGCGGCAACCCGTCTCGTGCCCCCGAGAATATGGTGTCGGACGAGTGGGACCCGATCACCCTCAACTACACGTCGGGGACCACGTCGTCCGAGCCCAAGGGCGCTGTTTATAGCCACCGCGGCGCCTACCTCAGCACTCTGAGCCTGATCCTCGGTTGGAGGATGGGAACGGAGCCTGTCTACCTGTGGTCCCTCCCCATGTTCCACTGCAACGGTTGGACCTTCACGTGGGGCGTGGCGGCACGCGGCGGCACCAACGTCTGCATCCGCTCCGTCAGTGCCGACGAAATCCACCACACCATCTCCCTCCACAAAGTCACCCACATGTGTTGTGCGCCCGTCGTCTTCAACATCCTTCTGGAAGAAAAAAAAGGCCGTCGGGTCCCCGCCACCGTCGAGGTCCTGGTGGGCGGGTCCCCGCCCCCGGCCGCCCTCCTCGAGCGAGCTGAGGGGCTAGGCTTCCGCGTGACCCATGCGTACGGCCTGACGGAGGCGACTGGCCCTGCCCTGGTTTGCGAGTGGCAGGCCAGGTGGGACCGGTTGGGGGGCGCAGAGCGCTCGAGGCTCAAGGCGAGGCAGGGGATCAGCGTGCTAACGGTGGCCGACGTGGACGTGGTCTCGGAGAGCTCCTCGGGGAGCGTGAAGCGGGATGGGAAGACGATGGGGGAGGTAGTGCTGAGGGGGAGCGGGGTAATGAAGGGGTACTTGAAAGACGAGGATGCCACGCGGGCGGCCTTCGGAAGGGGGGACGGGTGGCTGCACACGGGGGACGTGGGGGTGGTCCACCCAGACGGATACGTGGAGATCAAGGACCGATGCAAAGACGTGATCATATCGGGAGGGGAGAACGTGAGCAGCGTGGAGGTGGAAGCGGCACTGTATGAGTACCCGGCGGTGGGGGAGGCGGCAGTGGTGGCGATGCCGCACGCGAGGTGGGGGGAGAGCCCGTGCGCATTCGTGGTGCTGCGGAAGGGGGCAGACGAGGCAGAGATCGTGCAACACTGCAAGGAGAGGCTGCCGGGGTTCATGGTGCCGAAGAAGGTGGTGTTCATGGAGGAGCTACCTAAGACGTCTACTGGGAAAGTACAGAAATTTCAGCTGAGGGCTCTGGCTAGGGACTTGGATGACGCGTCAAAGTCAGCATCGTCCGAGAAAAATCATGAGATTATTAATAATAGGCCTTCAGTCACGCCCTCGCTGCCAATGGGAGATGTCTACCATTGTCAGAATCATGGGGAGCAAATTTTCGCTATGTCTCGTATGTGATCATTTGCCGTGGGCTACATATGGTTGTATCAGTTAAGTTTGTGAGTGTTAGTTAATCACCCATGAATAATGTAGAATGGTGTATTAATGAAACGAGAGCTTTCTTAGCTCTTGATCTATAAGTTGTTGTAGCACAAGCCTTAATCAAAGTCACATCTAGTATTAGATAGTATATCCAGAGTAACGAGATTGTTCCATATTAATAGTCAGTGCCATTTAACAGTCGCCCACAATATCACAGGAGATGAAGTAAATAAATTTGCCCAACAGCATTAGTCGTTAAAAACACAGATAAGAGTGCGCTACTACATCTGATTCTGAAACCACAGGTCCGGTAATACGATTTAAAAACACTAGGGGAGCACACACACACACACACACACAAACTAATTATTTACATCTTCGAACGAGAAGCAGCAGACAACCAAGATAATCACTTTGGGCACGAAGCTTTGCAGCATCTACCAAGACGAGGACATACCAGGAAAAGCACCTGTTTTCAAAATTGTATCAAGAAATTATCCAAATAATGGCATTTGAAAAAAGTTGACAGGTGCAGATGTGCCATTTCCAAAATGCCATATCTAAGATCAACAACCATTGCAATTTCAAGTATGACGGGGTTAATCTAAAATTAGCTAAATAATAATCTCTTTTAAATAAGAATTTGGTCAGTCCCAACTACAGTACAACTAGCTAAATTAATGATCCACTAAATCTGTGAGATAGATTCATCTTCAATATATTCATGTAGAGCTCATGCAATAGATGAATTGATATCCTTTAATCACAGAGTGCACAAATGGCAATCTGGAAAGATGAAAAATTACTTCATTTACTTCGGTGGTTAGTATTTGATGTGACCTTGAATCTTATCTCTAACTCTTCATCAGTATAGGAAGAAATTCTGCTGAGTTATCTCATTGCCCAATAAAAAAGTTATCCAATGTCATCATTACTTTAATAGCTTCATTCCAGGAAGGGGGTTCTCTAGTAGACTTATCATCCTCAATGTCATGACTTTCACCATTTGACATGATGCGTATAATTTTATTCTATTTTTTTCACACTGCTCTTATAAATTGGCCTCCAACTCATGCACCCTAAGAGATTCGAACACCTGACCTCTGCGCACGACAAGACTCCAATACCAGTAGCCTAGGCCTTTGTGGTAATCATGCTCATAATATATATTCTTTCCAGCCTACTATACCCTTTCTGTCCAGTTGACAGCTTGGCAGCCCTATTATGAGATTTCTAGCTTTTGAAATAAATTTCACATTTTGGTTTCATGATCATTTCATGGTTGATTAATATTTTGCAGTGGTCATATATTCACTGATCAAAACTTACAAACAGCAAAAGCAATCTGCAATTAGTGTTTAAAGAAGCATAAAAAATCATTAAATAAATACTTTATCAGAAATTTAATCTCACTAAATTGACAGATATTGGTGATTCCAACATTAATAGATTTTGGCAGATATAATTTTCAACTCAACGACCTGGGTTTATGTTATACACCAAACGAGAGACACCAGAGAGACAGGTAAACATATGTGAAAAATCACGTACTTAGAGTCAATTAGTGCTTAAGCACAACATGATGCAGATCGAGATCCTTCAGCAGGTCTATCGATGAGAACCATTCCTGCTGGGTTTTGGGTAGGTTGAGCTCTGGGTAGTCTTTTGGCTGTAAATATCAGACTGAAAAATTAGAAATATTCTTAATAACAGTAATAATATATTATATTATTACTACTATTTAAAAAAAATTAGCACAAATGGTGTTGCACTGCAAAACAAATATAATCTTCTTAGTGATTTCAAATACACATCAAAACCATCAATCATCAGAATATCAGTAATTTCCATAAAGTGACTGCAAAGATAAGACATGCGATATTTGGGATGCTTGGTTCAGATATGTTAAAAGTTATGTTTGTACCACATCACTTAGTTACTGGGCTCTTATTGTGTATAAGTGTGGGTCAGGCACCCTCTTTCTTTGAGCTAGCTTTTGGGGATGAGTTCACTCAGGCCCATTTATCATGGTATCAGAGCACCGAGATTTTGTTTGTTTGGAACCGATGTTTGCTTTAGACCTGGTCCATTTATCCCACATCGATTAGTTATTGGGCTCTTATTGTGCATAAGTGTGGGTTGGCACCCACTCCCTTTGCTCCCTTTGCACTATTTGTGACAAAAAACCATCTATAATTTCAACGAAGTCAAAAGAAACGCCTGAAGTCAGGCAGACAAGATACCACCAACGGATTTATTGCCAGCAGAAATGATCCATTTCCAGGATGAAAACCAAATTAAAAGACTCCTACTTTTTGATAGTGGTCAGATGCAACAGAATAAAGAGGTGTTAGTTTGCTCAGTAAATCTTATTCCTCCTATTTCTCTTTCTATTTGAGGATTCTCCACAAAATTTTAAGGACAAACAATAGATGTCCGTCTCCATGTTTGTGCTTCTCCACTTCTGCCTAATTAAGCAATTAACAGTAAAGAAAAGAAAAGAAAAGAACATACCTATTTCATAGAATATATCATTGACATTAGCGGCAGTTTTGGCAGATGTTTCCAAAAAGAAAAGCCCATTTTCATCAGCATAGATGCGGGCCTCCTGAAGAACATTTATAGAGAACACAATAAAGAAATGACGTTATTGCATGTATAAAAATTTGAGAGGTGGAATTGGAAATCAGGTAAATGACTTTATGCACATGCTTCTGAAGTTGAATAAAGTTGTATTAGTTGAGACATATGGAGAAGGCAGCAAAAATCAGCCTCAACTCAAATAAATACTTTCTAGAAGCAAGACTACGCAAATCCAGATAAAGGTATTTCATACGTAAATATAAGCAGCAAATAAATAGAAAATGTTTTAGGGAAAAGAACAGCATATAAAGCCATAATAAGCAAAATAAAGCAAAAACATGTCATCAAGCTAAACTATTATAATTCACAACTAAACGGGGAAATGAATTTTGTGTATCCTCCCAACTAATGGGAATAGTTCTTAATCTAACATCACATTTATATTCGTTTCCCAAACCATCTAAAGAGTCAAAGTGCCAAGTAAAAGGTGGCATGTAATCTGTTTATAAACAACTCGCACTTACTTAATAGGCAATGTTGAAATTCTTCATTTCAAGCTCCCTCACATCACTCTTAGAAAAGCATTGGTCCACCAATATAATAATCAAAAAGAATGATAATGTAGCTCCAGTTTATTCTCTAACACCTTTTTAAAGAATGAGTAATAGTTGAAGCAACATGGGTCGCTGCGAAGTATCCCTAAGTCCCAATTCAGTTCACATTTCCACCTTGAGAGGAGGGTCGTTTAGCATGGGGGTTGGGGAGGGAATAACGTCAAAGTTTCTTGTTGCACAAATAAGATAGACAATGGGAAAATATCTGTATAGGCACAGGCATTCTTTAACTATTATTCATATTTTGCTTGATTATTAGTCAGCTCTTTCTATAGTTTGTTGGTATGTTTAAGAAATTACTGTCAGCGTGCCTCGTTCTCTTGGTAGGTGGAGAGGATAAGAGGTCATATTTATATGAAATTGACTATCATTAAGTTGGGGTTAGTATGAATATTGTTATTAAGTTATGGAAGCTTGCTAGGCAGGAATCACCATGACGAAACATCATGCAAAGTTTATGGTATTTTATTTCCTTCATGATTGAAATTTCCTCTATTGTTGTATCATCTAAACCTTGAGGCTTGACCTCAAGATAAACTACGATAAAGTCATGAAAACTGAAACAAAGTTGATGAAATTGAAGTTCGAGAACTAAATGCTCCAAAAGGAGAGAGAAATACTTACTTCTGCAGTCACAGTCCTCTTATCTTCAAGATCACATTTATTTCCAGCAAGTGCCATAACCATGTTAGGATTACCTGAAAAAGATGCAAAACATATGTCATAATGACATAAATAAAGAACAAAAAGGAATACAACTTCATCGATTCCCTAGGACATTCAATGTTGCTAAACTGCATTTGTCTATTTCAGATGGATGACCAAAATTCAAATTCGAAGAATCAAACTTGTCTTTTTCCTTCTTTCAATTTTTAAAATTAACATGAAGCTACTATAAATATAAATTAATAAATCATAGGCACCTTGCTTTTGTAACTCTTGCACCCACTTCTTAGCCCGTCCAAATGAATCCTGCATCACCGAACGACAATCAAATGATAAAACCTAAACCTTACACCACACACACAGACACACACATTTAATATATTATATCTTAAACCAATGAAACGAAGAATTTCACAGGATCGCTAAAAAGGGATTGTCCAAGTAAACGGACATCTAAATATTAATTAGTAAACATGAAAGAACCTCCAAAATTTCAACAACCCACAAATCTCCAAGCAAATGCATATTTGGGATTGTGCCCTATTACCGCGCTCGTGATATCATAAACTATGATGGCGGCAGCTGCGCCTCTGTAATACATGGGAGCCAAGCTGTGGTACCTCTCCTGCCCAGCCGTGTCCCAGATCTCAAATTTCACAGTTGCATTATTCACGGACACTGTTTGGGAGAAGAACGCGGCCCCGATCGTCGATTCCTGCAACACAATCATCAACATTAACATGATCTGCTATCACAGGATCATCGTCAATCATGCAAAACTCTCTTTACGCGATTTCAATCAATTGAGCTCAGAATTTGCATGGCGGGGGATCGAAGATGAGGAAATGAATCTACCTGGAATTCGAGGAATTGGCCCTTGACAAAGCGAATCACGAGGCTCGATTTCCCAGCGCCCATGTCCCCAAGCAATACCTGAAGCAAAATCGATCTTAGAGCACGAAAATCGAGCTAAAAAATGACACAATGCAAAAGGGAAAGTTGGGCTCACGAGCTTGGCGTTGAGATTGTTGTGCCCCGTATTGGCCATGTGTATGAATGAATGTAGAAACCCTTCCTTTGTGAGGAGCTGTGCGGTGTGTAGAGAGCGAAAGTACAAGCACTTGTGAAGCTGAAAACGTGTGATCAGAGGTAAATTGAAGAAGGGAGAAATGGTGGGGGAAGTTGGAGTTGGACTTTTCTTACCGACCAAATAGTGGTGACGGGTCACGCGCCGGCTCCTTTTGAAAACTATTATTACGTGTGTGTTTTTGGTGAGTTGGCAATTTGAAAGAATTAAAAAGGAATTATAAAATAAAATGTTTACTAATAATGAAAGTAGACTATCAATAAACCAACTCGTATAAATCATTCTTGAAATTTTAGGTTGATATATGAGTGGGGTAATGTGATTTATATTAGATTAAAATTAAGGATGTGAATTATATTGTATTGATATAATTAATTTTGTATTTGTTGTTTGTATTTGATGGTTTCCAAAAAGATAGTATTAGATTTTAGAATTAGGGTTGGGATGAAAATCCATTTTTCCCGATCGAAGTGATCTCATTCTAAATAAATATGGTTTTAATTTGTTTATATATATTGGCATTATTCTCGGTACCGACCAGTATAAAACAATGTTAGTATCGTTTTCATAGATTATTGTCTCGAACCGAAACGTTTGTCTTAAATTACTTGTGTTGATACAAAATATACACTATACATGTACATATTTAAGATTGAATGACCAACTTGCCTCATGATTAAATCTCAGCCGTAAAATGCATGATCCTGAATCGGGCGGAATCGTGATCGATGGGCTTGACAAGGCCGGGTAGGCGGGCTAGGCGTCTCATAGCCATGTCTAACCCCAAGTGTGTATAAAATTATTTGTCGATATAGAATTTTTTTTTATATGTTTTATCACGCTTTGTTATACAGTAATGAATCTTTTTTAATTTTAATTTAAATAGATAAATTTTAGTTGAACAAACAAAATGACCAATCTTTAGATGAAAATTGTGAACGTAACAATATGCAAAAGTTGTAAAATGTTTATGCTTAAAAAGAAAAAGTTTGCATATTTTTCTTTTTGGTTGTGGGCTGAGTTACAATTTTTGTTATTCTAATACACAGAAAAATTAATATGAATACTTTATTGTGTATATTTTTTACAATTTATTGAATTCGTACTTATTATTTTGACTATTTACACAAATTAATTTTACTTGTGCATGGTGAAATGTAGACGTAAATCCACGGAAATTCTCACACATCTACATAAACATTCATTGAGTCTGCTTTTTATCAATTAACTGCAAATTAAGCTGTGACACAGCACAAAATCCATCAACATCAACTCCCCTTAATAGCAACTCCAACAACAATCACTTAACAAGGCCCAAGCAACAATGCCTTCCCATTCTCTTCCCAAAACTAAAATTAAAATCAAAATTACAAG